CCACTCGGGGGTGGGGGGGGAGCACCGGGGCACCGGGGCTGGGAACACCTGAGGCGCTGGGCCAAGCTGGGGAGAGGGTGCTGAGGGTCCAGGCCGAGCTCTTGAGAAGGTTTGGGGGCTCCGGCCCGGGCTGGGGAGGGGGATCGGAGTGGGGAGCACTGCCGGGGGTGTTCCGGTGCCTTAACCCCGCGCGAGTGGGGGGCCCGGCCCTGCAGCAGCTCCTTCCCCACGGGGGGGGGTGGCGGCGGGCTGTGGCAGCAGCAGGTCGGACAGGCAGCGCAGAGCAGCAGGGCTCTGTCCCCCGCAGAGCAGCAGGGCTCTGTCCCCCGCAGAGCCTTCCTCCCTGCCCTCCTCTCCAGCAGCAGCTACGGTCAGTCCTCAACCGCAGCAGCGATGGGAGAAAATACTGCCTGGTCAGCTGTGGGCCGAAAACCCAATTGTCGTTAGTAGTAAAATGTGCTGCCGCAGCCTGAAAGCCCAAAAATCTTTGGCAGGAGGCTGAGACCCGCGTGAGGAGCCCCGAGGGCAGGGTTAGTGCGGGTGCCGCGTGCACAGGGCTTCCGGGGGGGCTGCCGGGACCTGCGTTAGGGACCACCTAAGTGCTTCCCTGACTGCCCCGACCCTCTCGTGTGCCTGCCCCGACCCTCTCGTGTGCCTGCCCCGACCCTCTCGTCTGCGCTTTGCCAGGCTGTGCGGCTGAGAACCATTCTCAAGCAGAGGGACAAGATGATCAAGGAAGGGAAGTACACGCCGCCCGACCACCACAAGGGCAAAGAGGAGCCGCGGCCTTGATTCGCGGGGGGAACGTGGCTGTCGGTCGCCCGTAGAGTCATTGACGGGGAACTCCTCCGGGAAGAAAACCTGCGGCGCAGCCGGGTTACGCTGGAGCGGTGGGGTGGGGTCTGCGTGGGGGGCCCTGCCCCTGCTGAAGGGGGATGGCACCACGTCGGGCATCACCTGGGCTAGTAAATGTCTCCTTCGGAACAGCGTTTGGCTCTGTCTTGTCTTTCTTTCGGAATAAAGCATGGCTTGAGGGTCTCTCTCCGTAGCAGGGGAGCTTCTGAGACACCCTGAAACACCGCAGCGGTGCTGGGGGCGCGCCCTTGAGGAGGTCAAATGCTCCTGGAGCCGGAGGGAGCCGCGGGCCGTCACGGGCTCTCCCTTCGTGCTCGCAGCCTGTCCCTCCTGCTGACCCACGGGCAGGCCTCCCAGGCGGCAACCGCTGCTGGAAAGGAGAGGAATAACCTGAAAGAGTTAAAAAAAAAAACAAAACCACCAAAAAACCAAAACGAGCTTGTCCTGCAAAACTTAACTTAATCTCCAGCCAGCACGCGGGGCTGGTGTGAGCGGGGCTGTTCCCAGCCGCTCTCCAGCTGGCGGTAGCGGTGTACGAGGTGAACGCCTGGTTAAAACAAACTCGTTTCCGCCCGGATTCGGAGCGGTAGCGGGTGGGTTCGGTTTCTCTCCCGCCCTTTCAGTGTGTCGGAGGCGGATCTCCTCGCTGGGGGCTTCGCTGCGAAATCCCCTGTGTCAGCGGGATCCATTGAGCGCCGCGGCGGGCGCTGGGCCCTGCTGACGGCGGCTGGCGGGCAGCCCTGGCGCGGCCGGGATGGTTCGTCCCG